TAATGTAGTTACTATTTTTAAAGTTACTAATAAAGATATGAGCAAGGCCTCACCTTAATACCAAAAAAAAAAAAATTAATAAAAAATTATATTAAAATTGATATATATAAGAGAATTTTGATATATAAAAATTAATAAATATTTTTTAAATAGCTTAGATTAATATTAACAGAATTGATATTAATAAGAATTACTTGTATTTAAAAAATCTATTTTTAATAATTTATTAAACATTAATTTATAACATTTATAATTTTATTTTAATTAATTAAATAGGATCTGATATTAAAAAAATATTAGAAAATAGATGGACTAAACTATATCACCCAGTTATTGAAGTAGCTAATTTTCTTAATCCTCAAGTTATGGGACATGGATTATCTAATAACTATATGACAACTATTTCTAACTTTCTTACTAAATATTATAATAATAATTCATCAATTATTTGGCAACAAATTCTTAAATACAAAACTAAAAGTAAACCATTTAATAACGAGTTAGCCTGGGATTCTGTAAATCAAGTTAATCCTACTACATGGTGGACAGGAAATTTTCAAGAAGCTGCACCTGAGTTAACAAAATTAGCATGCAGAATATTATCAATTCCAACATCATCAGCAGCATCAGAAAGAAATTGGTCTAATTTTTCTTTTATTCATAGTAAAAAAAGAAATAGACTTAGTTCAAAAAAAGTTTTAAATTAGTTTATATCTATAGTAATTATCGATTACAATTACCACACATAGCAAATAAGATTTATAAATGTAAAGATATAGATAATAAAAATATAGCTGATATAAATGAATATGAAGAAGACTTAAATGATGATGATAATAATAATTTAGAAGAAGGCTCGGATAATTTAAATAATAGATTTGAAGATTTATTTGAAATAGATGATTCTGAAGATAGTAATGAAAGCTCTAATAGTAATTTTGATAATGATTCCAATAATAACTCTGATAGTAATTTTGAAAATGATTTTGATTACAATTCTGATGATAATGCTGATAGTAATTTTGAAAATGATTTTAATGAAAAATTAGATAATGATTTAGATATTAGTTTGGATAGTATTTTAATAGATAATTCAGAAAATGAAGGTTAATAATTAACTTACTAAATAAAGTTTGACTTTACTTTATAACAATTATTTATAATTAACTAAAAATTAAATCAAATTATTTTAATTTAGATAATGAATTAGATAGTGAATTACAAGAAATAAGAAATAATTTTACTCAATATCTTGAAAATGAAGAAATTTTTGAAAGAAGCAATAATGAAGAACTTGAAAAAAATAATACTGAATATTTTGCAAAAAGTAATATAAAGGATTTTGAAGAAGAAAATTTTGAAACCAATAATGAAGATAGTTTTATGGATGAAATTTCAGAAGCTGATGAATTTATGGAAGATTTTTTTAACAAAAAAACTAACAATTAAATATATAAAATAACTTTTTTTTTTTTTTTTTTTTTTTGTAGTGGTTCTCAATATAATGAACTATCAATATAATAGGTATTACTATAAAAAATTATAACAACACTAAATTATGATTTACTATAATATCTAATTTATTATAAATTAATATTGCAGAACTTTTGGTATAATAAAACTTTTAAGAATGAAGCAAAAAACTAGAACTATGGTCTTTGTAATATTAAGAACCACTATGTATTTATTTATTAACCTATTATATTATAAGATACTAGAAAAATAACATTTTAAAATTTATAAATTATAATATATCCATTATTTTATAACTATTATTTTATACCTATATATATATTATTTAAATAAATAAAATTTTTAACATAAAATACAAGTTTATACTTTAATTACAGATAACTTCTAAACCCAAAAGTTAATATTTATAATAATTGAAATCAACAACTAATTTAACATATATTAAATCTAAAAAAATCACACATATAATTCTTTGTAATTTAAATTAAATCGATTTTAGTTTAGCAAAAAAAAATGTGGATTTTCAGTTACTAATTTCGACCCATGATCAATATAATTTGGACTACAACTATAGAATAGCTTTTATACCCAATTCTTATTATGCCTTAAGTCTAAAGATCAAGTATATTACTCTATAATGTAAGTAATAGAATAATAATTCGAAATTAGATTAAATTTAGTATAGCAAAAAATGCGCATTTTTTCATTGCTAGTTAATGATTAATTCAGCTAGAATTAAGATAATTTTGGCCCATCACCATCATAATGCGGGCTGGAACTATGGAATAGCTTTTGTGCCAAATTTTTATTATGTCTTAAGTCTAAAAATACAAATATATTATCCTTATAATGTATACAAATGATTGAATAACAATTTAAAATTAGGTTGAATTTTATCCAACAAAAAGTGCGCATGCATGCGCAGTTTTCCGAAAAATGCGCATTTTTCCCATCTCTAGATATGACCCAGTGGAATATAACTGTAAATGTTCCTAAATCCCGCAATCGGATAACATTCAAAAATTTGGTCGATGATATGTCGTATTGCCCAAATGACAATCTGGCCAAATTATAAATTTAGTTAGCCCAGACATTAGGGTAGGTACAACATAACACAAACAGAAAAATTCAAAACGAACATTCTTTTTGTCAAAAATTGCTTATTTTGAAAAATTGCATATAAAACTACTCTTCGCTAACTAACAAAAAAGTTTACTACTATATATTATTTTAAACTATAACAATAATAAAAGCACTAACCTTAACATAAACGAACTTTCGAAAATTTGACTGCGTCACAAACATTCAAGAATTGCCATAGTGATAACCCAATACATAGTTCAGTAATTTTGTTATAATTGTATAGCGATAACCCAATTTATTAAATTATCTGAATATCGTACTTGTAACGACCAATCAAAAACATTAAATCACACACTACTAGTGCTCCGAACGGGTCAGGTCGGGTCGGGTTATAGGCCAACCCGAACCCGACCCGAAATTTCGGTTCAGGTCGGGTTGAAAATTTTCGGGTTAGTGCTTCAACCTGAACCGAACCCGACCCGACCCGACCCGAACCCAACCCGAATTTTTAAGGCCAACATACCAAATTTTAAAGTTTACCAGTATATAACCTGTCGCTTACGCTGACAGGCTGTTGTTAAGTTATAAATAGGATAGATTTTACTATATAAGAATATAAAATATTAGAGCTAATTGTAAAACGGCAGTCTATATGGTAAGAAATAAATATCGTATACATATATATTACGCAG